AGAAGGCAGTTGAAACAGAGAGTGTAACTGAAGGGGATTTCTAGGAGCCCCATTGCAAAGGAGGTAATAAACTTAATAAGAGGGTATTTAAGACAGCTAATCTAAATGAAAGTTGCAGATTGCCCCAGCTTACTCCTCCTCATCCTTCTACACTCTGTTCCAGCAAAAAATAAGCCCCATTAAAGAGTGATCAGAAAAGACCCAGAAGGGGACTGCGTTAGGTCATTTTCTCTAGAAACAGCCTGAAACAGGGACTCTTGTAGGGGTGATTTATTGAGTGAGTGCCCTCAGGAAGCAGGATAAGGCAAGGGGAGAAAGTTAATCAAAGAGAGGCTTCAGGGGCGCCTGGGTGGCTCAGGCAGTTGAGTGTCCAACTCTTGGTTTCCTTCAGATTGTGATCTCAGGGTCGTGGGTTGGAGCCCCTTATTGGGCTCTGCGCTCGGCAGGAAGTCCGCTTGAAGATTCTCTCCCTCTGCCCCCCTCCTCAAAATAAATTAATAAATCTTTAAAAAAAAAAAAAAAGCTATGGCTTCAGCTGAAGCCCCAGCCTGATCCCATAAGGAGCTCTGGATCATGAATGGCACCTGAGAGGTCTACTCCCACCTTGAGGCAAGGGACCAGGACTTTGTATGACAAATGCATCAATCATGGGTCACCCTCAGGGGAACACAACTTCTCAGGGATTTCTGGGTGGCATAGCTCCTGTTGGGGGAACTTCTCAGGAAAAGGGGCATCTGTGAGCCATTAGCAGCCAACATTCACAGCAGCTGGCTGAGGGGTGCATTGGCTTGGTGAGTGGGATCGGGGTGGATCACCGACAACATCCACTCTCGCCGCGCTTCCCAGAGTGTGGTCGCTGAAACAGTGGAGGTAGCCTCTTCCCTGAGAACTTGTTAGAAATGCAGATTTCCTATCCCAACTGCAGACCTGTTGAATCAGAAATGCTGGGGTTGGGACCCATGACTCTGTATCTTAACAAGCCCTCCAGGTGATTTTGATGCATGCCGCCGTTTGAGAACCGCCGTGCTCTAGGGAAGCTGTAACTAGCCACTAAAAGAAATGGAGGGGAAAGAACAGAAAAATAAGGTGGATGCACAACAGATGTTGCAAGAGAAATGAAAGAACACAAGAATTGAGACTAAAAAATAGTTATCTCTTAAAAAGACAAAAAGCTAAAGAGGAGATACAAGTATAAGGCGCAGAAGATGACCAGCAAGCTGCCAGCGCCAAGAAAAGAAACGGAAGTGAAAAAGAAAACCGTTTCAGAGGTAAAGCCACATAAGAAGCAAAGGGATAATGATGGTAATTGTAACAGTCAGCATTCAACCAGGAAAACTGCATTTGCTCCAGATCTATATTTAAAGCAGAGAGGGAACTAAGGCAGGGAATTTGTTACAAAATGTTGAAGAGGCAGGCTAGGAAAACAAATAGGAGGTGGGGATGTAACCCAGAGTTGCACCCATGAGCCACATGGGTGTTGTTGGCCAGTGTCGGCACCATCACGGTTGAACAGAAGCTGCCCACCACCGTGGCTGGTGACAGCCACCCAGCCACAGGACCCAGTCCCTGCAATCTCTCCAGCCAGAAGTGGAAAAATGGCTTCTCCCTTCCACTCACCTTCTAAGCTCCCACCAGTGCTTCCCACTGGCAGAACCCAACCAGAATGCAGGCTTCAGGCTTCCAGCTCCCTGAAATCCAGGGGAGAGGGTGGGCAAATGGGACTGGGTGAGAACCAACAAACTGTATCTGGTGCAGAAATAAACCCAGTTTAAGAAGCATCCGGGTCAGAGGAGAAAGCTTGAGAAAAATCACAAAATGAAATAGAAGAGAACACAGATTTAAAAATAGTTATAGAGGGGCGCCTGGGTGGCTCAGTCAAGCGTCTGCCTTCAGCTCAGGTCATGATCCCAGGGTCCTGGGATCGAGCCCCGCATCAGGCTCCCTGCTCAGCGGGGAGTCTGCTTCTCCCTCTTCCCCTGCCCCTAACCCTGCTAGTGTTCTCTCTCTCTCAAATAAATAAAAATCTTCTAAAAAAATTTTTTTAAAATAGTTATAGAGAAAGTAACAGCTATGGAAAAGCAGGGGATACAATATACCTGTAATTCTACTTCCTGAGTGAGAGAGTAGGACAAAATACGATAGAAAAGATGTTCGAGGCAACTGAAGAGAATGTCCCTGAAATTTAAAAAAAAAAAAGAAGAAGAAGAAGAATTAAATCTTAGGACCAGAAGAGGATATTGTATTTGCCTTAGTTGTTCAGGCCACTATAACAAGAATGCCATAGACTGGGTGGCTTATAAACAATAGAAATTTATTTCTTAGGGTTCTGGAGCCTGAAAGTCTGAGATCAGCGTGTGAGCAAGGTCGGGTGAGGGCCATCTTCTGGGGTTGCGGACTGCTTGTATCCTCCCCCAGTGGAAGGGGGCAAGCTAGCTCTCCAGGGCCTCTTTTATAACAGCACCAACCTCATTCCTGAGGGGTTCGCTGCCAATGGGTGATCCATTCAGCATTCCTCCCAGTCCTACCCTACCCTAATACTGTCACACTGCGCTTTAGGATTCAGCATATGAATCGGCGGGGGGGGGCCCCCCTCAAATCTTCAGACCATAGCAGTATCACAGGAAATGTTGATATTAAAACAATCAACACTGGAACTAGGTCTTGGTGAAGTTACTGAATCTCAAGTATAAAGAAAGAATCTGACAGGTCTCCAGTCCAAAACAAAAGCAATTCAAGTGCTGGGAGAAATCACTCAGGCTGGCCTCAGACTCCTCCTCTCACGACTGCTAGACAACAGTGGAGCAATGTCTGCGAATCTCTGAGGTAAAGAGGCTGAAACACAAGAGCCTGCGTCCCAGCCAGGGATCCTGCGGGCTCCAGACAACAGACTTGGCAGGTGCAAGCATGTCAGACGTCAGGGAGAACAGCATCCATGTACCCTTCTGGGTTTTTTTTAAGATTTACTTAGAGAGCAGGAGGGACAAGGGGAAGGGAGAGGAAGAGAGAGAATCTCAAGCAGACTCCCCACTGAGCGCAGAGCCCAACGTGGGGCTCAAACTCAAGACCCTGAGATCACATCCTGAGCTGAAACCAAGAGTCGGATCCTTAACCTACTGCACCACCCAGGCGCTCCCATGTCCTCTTCTTGAAAAAACTACTTGAGACTTTCAGTGATGTCATCTATATGGCAGAATAGGTATCCTGAATCCTTCTTCAGTTGACACCTAAGCATGCTGCAGAAAACATGTTAACACACCCGCAGAACTTCATGGCTGGGCTTACCCGAAATGAAATCGTCTGTGGCCAGTTTAGCAGAATGAGAGTCCAGACCTTCTGAGTGCCCTGCACAGTTCTTTTCCACCTCTGCCATGTGGGTTTCCCCACAAATGTCCTTTTCCGTTCCCATGCTCTCCAGGTTCCCATCGCAGACTGTGGAAGGCCTGGGCCTCCTCGAAGCCCCAGCCCAAATGCCGCCACCTCCACCAGGCTTTCCCAGACCTACCCAGCCCTGCAGGATTGCCCTCCCCTCTGTCCTCCCTGAGCAGTGAGTCTTTATCTCAGTTCTCCCCCATCATACTCACTTTGAATTATGGTCGTTGCCATGGATCCCTCGTCACCCCATGAGGTTAAGCGGGGCCTTGTCCATCAGTGCATTACTCAGCACCCAGTAAGGAATCAGTGTTCAATGAATGTCTGAAGCATTAAACTGAAGAGAATTGACTTGGAAGGCTTGGGGTCTATTTTAACATTCTGAAAACTCCTCAGTTCTAGCTACTATTGTTCACTGAAAACCAGGAGCTTTCTGTGCATTTATAGGCATGAATCGGGGGAACCATCTGAGGAGTGATTCAGAGGAGCACGGGCTTATCCGCTGTCTCCTTTTATGGATTTGGGGCTTAGGAAGGACAGGGCTCAGCTGGGCTTCAGCCCCACTGTTTGCCCAGCTCCTCACTCTCAGTGTACCTGCACAAACTCACGCCGGCATTGCTTTGGCAGGATGAATTTTTATTCAGTGTGTCTACTGTCCTGCCTTCCCTCCATCTCCCACTCCCTAAAAAGGGGGCCCGAGGAGGCAGTTGTGGAACGACTTACAGTAATAATAGCACGTCCATGGCATTTTCTTCAAGGCAGGCACAGTTCTGAGTGTTTTACTCACAAATCCTCCAGGCAACAGGCACGACTAGTATCCTATTTTATAGTTCAAGATACCAAGGCAGCTGAGCCAAAGTCACATAGCTAGCAGGGAGCAGAGCGAGGATTCTGGCTTGAGGTTAGAGATGGGGTTTGAATCTTAGCTTGTTACTTACTAGTTCTAAGACCTTCCACAAATTCAGCTCTGAGCCTTGATTTCCCATCTATAAAATGGGGGTAATAGTCTCCTCTTTGCAATACATAAAGATTAGATGACTTAACATATCTGAACATGGGTGCCTGGTAGATGATTAATGATAAGTTTTTTTAAAAGAATAAAATAGTAACATTAATAATGTTAACACTCTAGCAACAAAGGCTGAGCCAAGGAGAATGTGTTTTCATGTTAGAAAAATGTCTCCCGGGGGCGCCTGGGTGGCTCAGTCGTTAAGCATCTGCCCTCGGCTCAGGTCATGGTCCCAGGGTCCTGGGATCCAGCCCCGCATCCGGCTCCTTGCTCCGCAGGAAGCCTGCTTCTCCCTCTCCCACTCCCCCTGCTTGTGTTCTCTGTCAAATAAAGAAATAAAATCTTTTTTAAAAAAAGAAAAATGTCTCCCAAGTCTATTCTTTTATGTCATGTTGTGAAGGTAGTTTGATTCCAACGTGAAACATTCTTTAGCAGTTCACAAGACAAAGGGACACTTCATATGTCACCCACAGAGAATGAATGTTCTTCCCACCAAATGAGGCGCTTCCAAGCATATGGTATTTTTGCTGATCAGATTACACTGGGCTATAATGCAAGATAAAATAGGCTGACACAAATTGGAAAAGAAAATGTAAAGATCACACCAAAGCCATCTGAAATAGCCTGAGATAGTTTAATCATCCTGTATTAGCTTGCTGCATCTTAAAACATTTTCCTTCAAATCAAGTCACAGCTGTGTGTGCTTTAGGCTGTGGCCGTCATAGACAAATATGAAAAGAAGCAGAGTTAAAACAGATGAATACCAATGGTTATCCATTAGTCTGATGTAATCTAACACAAATGACCATTAGGAGACTTGCAAAGAAATCAGAGAAACAATTTCGAAGGCGAGCTTCTGCATAAATGAACGAAAGCTTTCAATTCCTCATCTCTCTCTCTAAACAACCGGCGTTCTCCCCATGCTTGGGTCTAAAAGCCAATTTAGTGTCTTAGATGATCAAGTCCATAAATGGCAAATTGGGGAAAATGAATTTGCCTACCATAAGGACCGCCATATCTGAACAATTGGTATCAGAGTGGCTGGAAAGAGATACCGCACCTCAGCAGGAGGCCCCGGAGTGGGGCCTCTCTCACGTGGGGATGTCGTGCAGTGAATGTGGTCTCCACTGGTAGGGGCAGTGTCGAGTTGTATGGTCTTTAACATTCAGCTAACTTGCTGCTTTTTTTTCTGATAAGTGTTTGGTTAGAGCAGACCAATCTGAGCTAGTGGCTCAGCAGGGGACAGGAGTCCAGAGGTAACCGCCAACCTGGGCTGGGAGGAGAGCCGAGACCGGAGGAGCCCCTCCTGTTGATCACCTAGAACTAGGGAATCTTTCCAGACTACCTGTGGAGCTTTTCCAGAACAGCACGAACTTCCTCTGGATGGTAGTTCCAAGGGCCAGATTTACCCTGCAAGAGACATGAATCAGCGTTCCCGGATTTCCAGCCTGCGGGAATGCATAGGTCAGGAGCTGGGTTGAGAGCACAGGGCTAGTGATAGTTCCGTGGCACTTGCCAGGATGATGTCGTCAACACAAGAGGCAACCGTAAGGTGGACGAGATCACCCAGGGAGAGGGTGTGGAATGGCACCAACATGTAATGGGCAGACTGGACCGAGAAGTACGAGGAAAACCAGAGGGGTTAAAGTGAAGAGTTTCAGAAGGAGAAAGGGTCTGTACAAATAAGCGGCTCTTCCATAATTAGACCTGCAGACAGGCCTTATCTTATCTGGCCCTCACAGCCAGTTCCAGCCTTTCTAAATCAGGCCCGCCTCTGCCTCTCAGGCCCCATGCCTTAGTTCAGCCCTCTTCATCTCTAACTTCGGCAGCCGTCCCACCTCCTGACTACCCCCAGTCCTCAGTCCCTGCTCCCTCCAGTCCACGCCTCACCCAGGAGCCAGGGATTTTTCTAAAATACAGATCCAGGGGCTCCTGGGGGGCTCAGTCGGTTGAGCTTCCGACTGTTGATTTCAGCTCAGGTCATGATCTCGGGGTCCTCAGATGGAGCCCCGCATCGGGCTCCACACTCCGCAGGGAGTCGGCTTGGAATCCTCTCTGTCCACCCCTCTCCGCACTCACATGCACGCATGCTCTCTCTCTCTAATAAATAAATACATTTAAAAAAAAAATAAAATAAAATACAGATCCAATCATGCCTCTCTCCTGCTCAAAACTTGTCCTTTGTCCTAAGAGGTAGGCTGAACTCCTTGGTCCAGAATGAGACCCCTGTCACCTAAATGCCCCCAATTCTCCATTCACACGCTGCTGTAACATGCCTCAGTGCCTTTGCCCACCTTCTTGCCTGTATTTGCAATGCTTTTCACTCACCCTGCTCACGTGGCTGGCTTCCTAGCCTTTAGGCCCATGCAATTGTCACCACCTCTAAAGAGCCTACCCTTCCTCAGGGATCAGGAAATTTATAATCTGAGAGCCAAGTCTGTCCTGATGCCTCACACTCAATTTACCTCTCATCTGTGCTGATTTTGTGCTGCAACAGCAGGATTGAATTGTTATGACCGGGAATTTATTTGGCCCACAAAGTCAAAAATATTTACAATCAGGCCCTTTGCAGAAAAGGTTTGCTGATCCCCGCTCCAGACTTGGAGTCTCATAGTACTTGGAACACTGGGCAACTCTGTGTGTGTCTTCCTTATCCCTCAGACTCCAAGTAAGGGGTGAGCCATTTTCAGTTCATTCCTGTGTTGCCAGTACTTGCACGGGGCCTAACCCTGCTGGCCTCCATCATGCCATCTTAGAGCCACGTCTCTGGGGAGGAGAAAGGAAGAAGGACCTGAATCCTTGTGCTGTGACCCCTGGCACCTCGGGGATTCATCTGCAAGTCGTTGCTCATTTCACTGCAGAAATAGGGCCGGCTTGACCCGTGGGTAGAGGAGCAGCCTCTTGGTTGGGCTTCCTGGGCTCTCCAAGGTTTGGAATCCCTTCGGCAGCTATAAAATGGTTTCTGCCCTCTTAGGGGAGACAAGCGGTGACCAAGTGACCAGAGGCTGTGCTTCCGTCCCCCACCCTGACCAGGCTGGAAGCCCTAAGGGGGGGCACAATCACCGGAAAGCAAGCCGGGACTCAACTCCTGCCTTGAATCCCTGCTTCAGCATCTCCAGCTGCCCATGTAGGGTTTGTTCTGCTTCCACTCCGACAACCCCCTCCAGGTGCAGGCCTGCCTCAGACCCTCCCACTCCTGGCCCACTCCGTGCAAAGGATTTAGAATTGGAATCAGAGCCTTGCGCAGTGTGACCTTGGGCAAGTCAATGTCCTTCTCTGAGCATTGTTTATGAAATGGAAACAAGCTTCTCTCATTCAGCTCCAAACTGAACTAGGGCTGGGCCAGTCTTCTGGGTTCAGAAGGCAATCAGAGGCTGCAGCTCCAGTCCAAACGCTAGGGCCTTTCCTGTGCATTATTTCACCCGCCGTGAGGTGGTGGGGGAGGGGGCGCACCTCCCTTTTGCAGAAGAGGAAACTGAAACTCCACGCGAGGAGAGGACTTGCCCCTGGTCACATGGCTGGTAAATGGCTGGGCAGAGACGGGAAGGCAGGTCTGCCTGCTACAAAGCCCTTTCCGCCCGTGCCCTTCCTGGGCCCCGTGCCCCTGCTCACCTTGTAGAGGATCCTGCCCTCCTGGAGCACATAGAGCCTCTCAGGCAGCGCCGCGTAGTGCTGGCTGCTTTGGTTCTCCATCGTGTCCACCACCACAGGGCACTGGGGGCTCCTGTCCAGCAGCAAGCAGGCAGCCTGCAGGCGGTCCTGGAGATTCCGGTGAGTCCTGATGTTCACGTTGTTCTTAAAAGCCCAGCCATCTGCAAAAGAAAAGATGGGCAGTGGGCCTCACAGGCAGGGCACGAATTTCCTGCAGCTTAAATACCCCCATTCCCAGCCCCTTTAACTGAGGGTCCCAGATAGAGGAGCCCTTGGCCAGATTGGGCCCAGTTTTCTATTATGGGTGAATGCACGGGATCACATAGGGAGTTACTGACTGATCCAAAATGGAAGCCCAGGGCTCCTGACTCCCAGACCTTGGCTCTTCAGCATGGGAGAGTCCCCTGGGCCTGTGCTTCTGGAACCTGAATGTGTATTTGAACCACACGGGGACCTGGTTAAAGGCAGATTCTGATTCAGTCTGTCTAGGTCAGACAGCACTGAGGGTCTAGCTGCTGCCCAGCAAGCCAAGGCTGCTTGGTGCCTGGACCACACTCTGTGAGGCAAGGGTCTAGAGCAGTAGTTCTCTGCCCAGACCAGCAGTGTTGGCATCACCTGGGGGTGTGTTGGTAATTCTTAGGCCCCACCCTAGACTGCCAAGGAATGGGGCCCACCAATCTGTTTTAACAGCCTTCCAGATGATTCTAACAACACACCGGAAGTTTGAGAACTACTATTCTAGCGTCTAGACAATCTCCCTCTTCTAATTATTCTCCACCAGAATGTTCTTTCCAAAGTGCAAATCTGACCATGTGACTCTCCTGCTTAGGTCTTTAGATGACGGCTCCCTATCATCCTCAGGAGAAATCCCAAGCTCCTCAGTGACCTGGCCTGTCTGTGCCGTGTTCCTCCAGCCTCTGTTCCAGCCGGGTGGGTGAAACACCTGGGATTCCTTGACCCACAACCCCCAAGCTGCTTCTCACTCCCACCCTCTTCCTCACGGGACTGCCTCCACCCACAGTGTGAGAACAGGCCTTTCTCTCTCCTACGACATCAGCCACTGCGGCTGACGTTAGCTCTACGGACAGCCTCACGACACCCAAGCCTCGGGGTGAGTTCATAGCCAAGTACAACTGCTAGCCTGACAACCACCCTTCCTTTCAACCCCTAAGAAGTGTTCCCACCTCCTGGTCTTGCTACCCTCTAACTCATCAGCCAAAACTCTCTGACAATGATTCCTAACACAAACTTTGATCAGATTTGTTCTCTGCTTGAAAACCGGTGACAGGACCAGCTCCTTAGCAAACATGTAGTGATCCCAGCCATCTCTCCCAGCCTGCACTTCTAGTCATGGCTGCCGGTCCTTCCATATCTCGCTGAAGTGACTCCTCCTCAAATGATGCTGCCCCCCTTTCCCTATCTCCTTACCGTCTTTTCCATATTGGAGACCCTACCTGTCTACCTGTCCTTTTAAGCTTCAGCTCCAAAACAGGGCTTCTCAACGTTGGTACTGTTGACGTTTTGTGGTGGGGGTGTCATCCTGTGTGTTACAGGATGTTGAGCAGCATCTTTGGCTTCTACTCACTAGATGTCGGTAGCACCAGCACCCCACCCTCCCTTCAATTTGTTTTTGACAACCAAAAACATCTCCAGGCGTTGCCAGATGTCCCTTGGGGGACAAAAATCAGCCTCTGTTGAGAACCACAGCTCTAGCGCCCTCTCCTCCAGGAAGCCTTCTCTGACACTCTCAACTGTGTGTAATTGGGCAAGCTCTTGAAATCTCTTTAAAGTCTCAGCTTCCTCATCTGCCAAGGGATTAATAGGACCAATGCTGCAGATGCCGGTGACATAACTTATACAGAATTCCTGGGACTCTGCCTGGTTCACAGAAGCTGCTTCAAAAATACTGGTTTATTTTGCCTGATTCCCTCAAATACCAGACAGGTAGGAAAAAACCCAGTTTTTATTCTTTACCACAGGTATTCTGCTACTTTGCTCTGGAGATGCCCCAAACCAAACCCATTTAAGGCTGCTTAACATTAAACGGAAGGGGATTTTCAAATGGCCTCATTTGCCGAGGTGCCCTTCTGCCTACTTACAGGAAGTGGTACTCATGTTAATGGGCTGAAAAAAAATAACCATAAAGTGCTACTGGCCTTGCCCTTCTACTTGCCCCATTTCTGGGGAGTCTGGGCCCAGCTAATGTGGTCATGGGCTCCTTCGGAAGCCATGTGATCTGTGTTTACAGTAATAGCTGCCTCCCAGGGTGACAGAAGTTGGTTAAGTCTATCGGCAGAAATGACTCCCACCTCCTCAATGCCTCAAAGTCCCCTACTCAGGAACCTTCCTCCGAGAGAAACCAGCTCTTGGGAGAAATTCACACCAAGATACCAGTGCCTGGCCACAGGGTAAAGTAACTATTACCTGCCCCAAGACATCAGAACTTTGTAGATGACAATAAGACCAGCTTACCTTTGTATCATGTTTGGGCAGTCAGTCTTGTGCAACCATTAGCTCCTTGGAGCTTCACAACGACCTCCTAGGGGAGGCCAAGCTGGGATTCTCCCCCTCATCCTGCAGCTGAGGACATGGAGGCCTGGAAAGGAGCAGTGACTCACTTCCCCAGCTTTAACGGTGAGTCCCTGCGAGGTGGGAACTGTGTGTATCTTTGGTCTCAATACCCTATAGGCCCAGCCCAGGGCGGGCACAGAGCAGGTACTCATGAAATATTGTCGAATGGGTGACTCTGTGGAGGTGGTGTTGTCATCCTATTTCACTGTCCCAAAAGTGGGCATGAAAGGTAAGTTGCCCAAGGTCACATGGTGGAGCCAGGACCCATACTCATGTCTGAAACTCCGAAGTCCATGTCCTTCCCACCATGCCTCGCGTGCCTCCCCATAATTTACCTGGACAGACATGTGGCATGTGGGAACCTGATTTGGGCCCCAGGCCCCAGACCTTGTGGGATTGGTGGACACTGGCTCTGTGCATTTGAATTCTGCCGGGTTCAGGTTTTTGTCTGATTGACAGAAACAAGTACCCTGGGGAACGAGGTGGGGGTGGGGAGAAGAAACGCCCGAACGAGGATGGGCAAAGCACAGAGGCAAGAAACCGGTCTGTGTCAGAACAGGGTCAGGAGGTGTTTCCTCATTGGCTTGAGATAGTCAGCCCTGGGTCGAGGAAAGGTTCATGCTGGGCTGACTCCAGGAGACAGGTATCAGGACCAGAAACAATGTCTGTGACGATCCACCCCTCTCGTTGCAGTTTACAGCTTGTTCCTTTGGAGATTAGAGCTGGATCTTGTGCAGACCCTTGGGCCGGCAGCCTCAGCACCACCTGGGGAGCCGCCCTGCTGAGCCAGGGCCTGCTGAGGTGCCCCCAGGTCATTTAAGCACCCGTTAGAGTTGGAGAAGTGCTGGCCGCTGTGACGACATCCAGGCATCGTCGCTTCTCGGCCCTGATGACCACAGAGCCCTGAAGGTGCCCAAATTCTCATTCTGTAACTCATGGCTGCTACTCTCCCAAAGGGACGTCTGCCCCAGGGGTACGCTGTGCTCACATCTGCAGTTACCTATGCTATTTTGGATTGTATTATGGAAAATTTTAAAGTACATGATAGTAGAGAGCACAGTGTCATGCACCTGTGTGTAGCTAGGACGCTAAGCTAATATTTCAGGTGGCCCCCAGAGTCTTCATGAGGACAGAAGCTGCCAGTTAAGTGAACACTGTATTAAGTTGAAAGAAGGTCTCAAACCTTTGGGTGCAATAAATCAGGACGCAATGGGCCTGGGGTGGGGCCCTGGAATATGCGTTTTTAACAAGCCACCCAGGTGGCTCTGACGTCAGGGATCCAGGGAGCATACTGGACCAACTTTGCTGATAGTGAACAGCAACCTACACTTAACAACACACAGATAAACCGGCAAGGCTAATATAATACTGGCCTAAACCCACTCATCCAACTTTTGCTGAGCTCTGATTCTGGGACACGGGCTCTGCCAGGTGCTGGGAGACAGACGAACCTTGTGGGAGATGGGCGAGTAAGTGACCCTTGTCTCACTCGGCCACACGTGACTTCCTGCCTTCTTCAGTCTTTGGTTTGAGAGTTGGGCCACTCTCATGGATTCAATCTCCTTGAAAACTGAGGAGAGAGGGGTGTGTCTGACCATTTTATAAAGTTCAAGGGGCTTAGACCACAAGTTGTGGGAGTTTCAGGGAGAGCTCTCCCGAACAGAGCTGTCCCGCAAAGGAACAAGATTTCCCGTGAAGTAATGAAAATGTGTGACCACCTGTCAGGGGTGAAGAAAGAATGCCTGCCCCCCGATGAAAGCTAGCCTGGGGCAGGGGATCTCCAAGTGTGGTCCCCAGACCAGCAGCTTCAGCGTCACCCAGAGCTTGTCAGAAATGTGAGTTCTCAGGCCGCATCCCAGATCTAACTGATGAACTCTGGGGTGGGGGTGGGGGATCCAGCTGTCTGTTTTAACAAGCCTTCCAGGTACTTCTGATGCTTACGAAAGCTTGGGAACCATCGACTGAGATGAACCACAGTGTGACCTTTGAGCTTGGAGAGTCTTAGGAGGGATCTCACACGTAGTTATAGAGCGGTCATTTCACTCATGACATTTCAGGTCTAAATTCCTCCTAGTAGCTTCTCTCCCTTGATTTCCCTATTTATCCATTCAAAATGTTGGGTGCTCGGCCAGCTGGACCTGTCCCTCCAGGTTTTTTTTTCCCCCCAAGATTTTTATTTATTTGAGAGAGAGAAGGAGCAAGGGGAGGGAGGCAGAGGGAGAAGCAGACTCCCCGCTGAGCAGG